CTTGTTCTCCCTCACACCACGACAGGGGCTGCTGCCCCGATCAAGAGCCCTGCCCCCTCACCACTGCAGTGGCAGGACAGGAGCACAGCCAGGTGCCGGCTGGTAGGGCCCCTTAGGTGGGGGCAGGGAGGGGGATTATTCCCCTCTCCCTCTGGCATCTGGCAGAGAGGGCAGGAGCGGGCTTATTCCACCACTTGCTGCAAGCAGGGACCGAGTGGTAGTGGTGGTGGCAGTCAGGGCGGGCAGACCTGGCTGTGGTCACCCAGGGGTAGTGGGGGTAGAGCAGGGAATAACCCCCCTTCCTTCCCTCTCTGCCTCAGGGGCCATGCCGGCCAGCATCTGGCTGCTCCCAGGCCCACCACTGCAGCAGTGAGTGGGGAGCACTTGGCAGTCCCGGCTCAGGTCCCTGCTGGTGGGACAGGGAGGGGGAAATTAAAGCCTTCTCTGACCAGTTTAGCCAAAGCTACTGCCTGACCTGGCCACGTGTCCCCGACACAGCTTCCCTGAAGCCAAGGGCATGCTCTAGTGCCTCCTGGCTCCTGGCCTGTGCCCACATTTCCTCAGTCCAGAGGAATGTCTGTGCAGTTACAAATCTGTTCAATCCAGCCAGGTTAGGCTAACCTGCAAAGACTGAATCAATTCAGGCTCTGGCATTTTGAATGTCTGTCCCTAGCCCTCCTGTCAGGACAGTGGCTACTACTAGCAAAGCCACTGTCTGCTAAGAAGCTTCTGTCGGTGATACCACAAAGGGTTTGAGAGCTGGAAAAAAACTTACACAACACTTCCCAGAGACGAGCCTATGAACTCCACTTCATCAGCCTCCTGGATACTAAAAATCATGGACTAAATATAGACATTGGATTTATGACACATTATAACCTGCCTGACATCTGACTCCCCAGGTATCTCTCCACTATTCATCCCCCTTCTCTCTCCCCCACAAGTCTGTCTCTCACCCATTGACTCCTCAATCTACATTTTCACTGACTGCCTGTCTTGTGTGCAGACCAGACCAGCCTCTGGCTGCTTTACTTTTCCTTCCATCCAGGAAGAGCACACACCAACTGCTGAAACTTCCTTAGCCTGACAAAGGGTTTTTGAACCTGAAAGCTTGCTTAAAAATTGTTTTCCAACTATTTAAGTTGGTCTAATAAAAGATATCAGATTCACCCAAAGAACCTTGTCTGCCTAGGAGGGAATTCAGCACTGCTTTTTGGTGGCCTAGGATGGGTGAACTGTGGAGTCCGACATCCTGAGACAGGGTACCAGACCAGGAAGGCTGTACCCTGGAAGTGTGCTTGGGAGACTGGACTTAGAGGCAGTGTTCGGATGCTGCGGAGACACATGGAGCTTGGAAGCATCTATGATCCCAAGGCAGAGTTCACTACATCGGTCTCATGTCCATTCATAACAGGGAACTCAACCAGGGCTGTTCTAACCTTGTCTTTCCTCCAAAGTGCCTAGTGCACTTTGGGCATACACTCTGGGCAATGCATAAATAATAATAATGATGAATAATAATGTTTCTGACAGATGCACAGGGGGCTGGCATGTGCTACTGCATCGTCAGCTTCATTGCAAGGTTCATTTCTTCTGATACCTGACTACAAATGCATTTGTCAGATCCCTCTAACTCTCCACTTCCCAAAGTACTAAAGGTCAGCTGTTCATCTCTGATGTTATCAGAATGGTTGTAGCTGAAGTTAGTGCACAGCAATTGCTCCATAGAAATAAAGCAGATGTTTCAACCCTCTTGGGGAGGATACTTTATGTGGTTAATCATGGTCTATGAAAGGAGACAGTTTCACACCTCTGCTGACTAGTTATCCCTTTATCCATACAATGTGAGCAACTGCAACCTAGTTTCTGTTCTCCTTCCCCCGCGCCCCCCTCCAAATTCCTCTTGCCTTTAACCCAAAGGGACTTTCAGATTAGAAATCAAGTGCAAATTTTTAGAAGTAGGGGTAATTAACTGTTAGGACAGTGTCACCTGGGGACATGGTCAGTAATTCATCACTTGAAATCTTTTCATCAAGACAGGAGACCTTCCTCAAGGAGATGCTGGGTAGAAATTATGGAGTGAGGTTTTATGTGTTCCTGTGTTGTGCAGGAAGCAGACTAGGTAATGTTCCTCTGTTCTTTCTATACCAGTGCTTCCCTACCTTTTTGGACTCGAGGCACCCCTCGTTGAACTCGAGGCACCCCTCCATAGCAGATGCCTACACTAGGTATCAGGGTCTGGATTAAGGCTAACAATTCATTTCATGGGGGCTAAAAATTCATCCGAATGCTGAGTGCATAGAACGGGAGCAATGTAAAGGTTAATAAGGCCCTATTGGATCTCTTCCTTGGGTCTCTCAAGAGTATTTTAACAACCTTTGCAGCAGCAGGATGTTGGCCACTGTGGTCCCCCTACTTTACCAACAGCAAGTGAGGGTGTTGTGTCTTATGGTCATATCATGATTGCCTGTAATTTTGCTAATTGATTAGACAATGGGTTTATATAGGATGGTTTGGATAGGGATGATCTTGCCTGGGTTAGGAGGCTGGACTAGATGACCTCTGGAGGTCCCTTCCAGCCTGACTTCTCTGATGATCTCTAGATGACCTCCAGATGATCTGATGATGATCTGATGATCTCTACATGACCTCTGGAGGCCCCTTCCAGCCTGACTTCTCTTTGATTCTCTGATACCAGATCCCGCAGACCTCTCATAGCCTTCATGTAACAATATGTAGGATTTAGGGATTGGGTCTTTCTATGTTGATTTCAGTGGGCTTCAGACTGGGTTTTAAGTACACGTTGGGGCCATAGGGGCCCGTAAAATACCAGAACGCTCCATTAGTGGGTCAAAATTGTACTCCCTAAAGCTAGCCAAAGGCAGCACTCCTCCTCCCAAAACCTGACGGGTTAAAGTATACTTGTACTTGGTGAGCCGAGCTGTTTTTGGAGATAGAAACCAAGAAGAAAATGAGCTAGGAATATAGCCCAGATGCCAAGGCCGGTTGATTTTTTGGATGCCCTATTTATCAGTTTATCTGGGACTTTTCAGAAAAATTCCACTCAGGGAGAAGACCCACTTTTGTAAAACTCCTGACATTGCATGAGCTTTAGCAAGGATCTCTGATTGCTAATGGGGCCCTTACGTTTAAACCTGGACTAACGCTCCAGCAGTTGGCCCCTGTAGGGAAGGTGAGAACCAGGCCTGGTATTTGCACATGCTCGTGTCTCTCAGTCCCCTGGGATGTGACCGGTCCCATCTCGCACCGAAGGAAATGGAGGTAAAGGGAGCTGGAGTTGCCAGAGGGGGGTGTGCCAGGAGGAGAGCCTGCCTTCCTGAACCACAGCCCCGCGCTTTCCTCATCCATCTTCCTTCCGCTCTCAGGGCTCATTCATCAACACTTCCCTCTTTGCTGCCACCTGTGAGGCACCCTTAAAAGCTCTCCTGCTTTAAAAGTTGCTACAACTTTAATCGGGTTCTTATTTTCACTGCTGCTCCAGGCTCATGCGGCTGGCACTGCTCCTGGCTTCATTTTTCTTGGCAAACGATTGACTTGCTTAACCTCTTGTTGGGTTGGTCGGGATATTTTTTAGGTCCCACATGTATTTATACCACCGGCCATGAGGAAGGGGCCTATAAAGGGAGGCATGCCCCAGGCCCTGCTTTCACTAGTTAGTTATCTGCTAGTTGTCCACAACCAGTAACAGGTAACCAGCACCAGCCCCTGCCTACTCTCCTGCTCTTCTCCAGACACTTGCTCAGTAGGCCAGGCCTGCCCTCCTCCCCCCATGTGCAAGCGGAGATGTGGGAGGGGTGCATCCTTTCCCCCCCACTTTCGGCATCTCGTTTTGGCTCAAACATGGCTTCAGACTGTGCTGAAGGCTGCCACCAGCTGGCCCAGCTGGAAATGGCTACCTGGTCCTTCATTCTGGGGAGCCAAACAGCAGCCAAATGTGATGCTGGCCACATCACTCCCTTGTGTGCCACTGGCAAGAGAAAGAGCTGTGCCTTAGCCACGCTAGCCTGATGGGCTGGCCAGTTTGGACAAGCCTCTGATTTTCCTTTTTTGTTGAAACCTGGGTTGGTCACAGTCCTTCACATTCTGCTTCTTCTTCTCTTCAGCTCTGCAAAGAGAAGGTTTTTAGGTGTTTGGAATCAAACTCATCTCTGTCCTGCCCACGTGGATCTATTCCCCCCTCTACACACACACTTTGAGGAATTTCATAGATTCATAGACATTAGGGACCTCAGAAGATCATCGAGTCCAGCCCCCTGCCCCAGGGGCAGGAAGTCGGCAAGGATCATAGGATCCCAGCAAGATAAACGTCCAGATGTCTTTTGAAGGCATTCAGACTAGGTGCTTGAACCACCTCCGGCGGCAGTCTATTCCAAGCACTTGAGTCGGATACCAAATCGAGAATTGTGGATGGGCAAGAAATAACCAATTGGTTCTAATATTACTGTTACGAGTCATTTTAAACAGCGATTTCATTGGTAGATCCACAAGTGCTGTATAAACAAGGACATCATTATGTGCATTTTACAGAGGGAGAAACAGAGGCACGGAACAGGGAAGTGACTTAGTCAAGGTCACCCAGCAGAGCAGTAGCAGGGCTAGGTCTCCTGAGTCCCCGTCTGGGGCTTTACCTACAAGCCTGCATTGCCTGTCATCTGCCTGCAGGAGATGGTAGCTTCATGTTGCTGCACTGTGGCTTCAGCCCAGTGCTTAGCACAGCTGTTCCTGTAATTCTGATGTATTCAAACAAATGCCATTCAAAAACCAGCTTCCTGGCTTCTGAAAGGGCTGCTGATTATTTTTAATGAGATCTACCGTTGCTGAGGTTTGTTTTTGGGGCTTAATGTGCATGCTGTTTCATACCACCTTCCATGGGGAAGGATTACCAGAGCCCATATGCTGCCAGCTGTTATGAGGACACCTATACCCCTGGCCTAGGGCTCTTGAGATCGCTGCTTTAACCACCCTCTGCTGTTTTGCAGGTGCCAAGCTGGGAAATGCAGCTGATCCGAGGGAGATTCCTTCTGCCGCTGTTCTCCAGACCTCTGTCTCCAGGGTGTTTGAGAGCAGAGATGCCGGGTGTCCCTTGTGTGGCACTACAGCTGGTTCTTGTGAGGATCTATTGAGGTTGGCAGGAGAAGGCATCCTTAGCTTTCCAATGTACCCTACTGCGCCAGCCATGATTCACCTCTAGGTAATTCCTTAGATTGCCCGTGGAGAAGCGCAGGCCCGATCCAATTCCTACTGATGTCAGTGGGAGTTCTCCCACCGCGTCCCATGGCTGCTTGATCAAGTCCTAAACAGAGGGAAATATAACAACATTTGGACCTTACAGAAAAATTGTAGTGATAATCCAAGACACTGCAGTCACAGTGCCAAAATCTGCAGTGTTATGGATCATTCCTGTAAAATACTGCAGGCCTTTTCTATTAAAAAAAAAGGGGCCATTGGTTCAAGAGATGGATGGTTCATTATTGCACTCCCAAGATTTGGAGAAGCTATTAGGAAAGCTCTGAACTCTCCACACACTGCACGTACCCCACTGAAACCTGCTACACAACTCCGGTTTTTATTTTTATTATTATTTTTATTTTTGCTTGAGACTCACTGCATTTACTTCTTTCCTGACAAATTATTTAAACAGATGGCTGCGTCTGATATTAATACACTTATTTCAACATTTGCATAGAGCATCTGTTATGAAAAAGGGGTAGGGCTTTTTTTTTTAATGCATCTCAGATTCCAAGAACTCAGAAAGAAGGCAGCCTTTTCCAAGAATTCAAGAATGGATAAAGGCTTCATTTATACAGTGCTCAGATGTCACCCTGCTGAAATGTCATTCACTGGCAGAATTAGATGATGAAGGGAAAAGTGAATCTGTAAATTGTAGAAATGGTCAAAGGACTGAAATTTTGGCATAAAAATATGCTTTTTTAAAGGGGAAAAATACATTTTCTGCAGGTTTCACCAACTGACTTGGTGTGCAAGTGACTTTTAGCTTATAAAAAATTGTACAAGTGACTTTTAGCTTATAAAATAAAATTAAGATCAATATATTGCTATGGCAAGAGTTACCAGGTGCTGCTGCTGACACAGCCTTTTCTTCTAGCATCTGAGTGGTATTTTAAAAAAAAGATATGATCCTACTTCACCTATTCAATGTCCAGGTGTGATTCTATCTGCCTCTTCCATTTTTTACATCATCTTCCTTATGCTTCACCTGCAGATAAAACTGTGTGCACATCGATTTTCAAATCGGCCCCAC